AAAGGCAGGAGGTTTACTCACCGTCTCGCCGAACGAAGAACACAGAGCCAGGCCGAGGCGCTATACACGCACGGCACAAAATCCGACATGCAACTGTCGGCGCGTCGGCCGCTTTGGAAGTTTCGGAGCGACCGAGCGCGAGTGAGCGCGAATCGACTCGGCGATCCACGGCTGTTTTCGCCGATGCCACGCGGCAAACAACGATCGTATATACCAGCACGATGTAAATCGTGCGCTGCCTTCTCGTGCCGTGTTGTTTGACGCTCGTTTTGAATCTCAAACTCGAGAGAGAAAGAACAGCACGTGTGTCGTGATCGAGAATCGTGTCGCGATTTGAAGATAATCGTGCAAATTATTAAATGATCCGGAACGCGCCGGAAATACGATAATTGTTAATTAGAAAAATAGCACGCGATTGTAAAATTACTTTTTTCCCCCGCGCGTTTTATAACGTGAACGTGAATTATACATCTCTGTTATCACTCGATTTATTGCTACCGATAGTTTGGTAGTTACACTTTGAATTTCTGACGTTCGGTAGTCATCGAAAAAAAAAATTTTTTTTCATTCTTTCTCAGTAAAGATACTCAGTAAAGTCGATATACTTAAATATACCCTAGTAAAAAATTTTCCATGTATAAAATTGTATGGACATATTCGTTATATATATATAAATTTGCATAATTAGATATAATAAGTTTAATATAATTATTAGATATAATAAGTAGTACTTATTAGATATAATAAGTTTAGATATAATAAGTTTTTTAATTTGTGTACAAGTATATACGATTATATATCAAAAAATTTTTTAAAAATATAGTAAAAACATAGTTTTATACAATTTTTTTGTATCTAACATGATACTAATGGAGTTATTTTGTTAATTCGATATGGAGAATATCTCTGAAGCCGTTCTCTTAAAAAAAGAAATTCTCCGTGTGTAAAATTGCATGGACATATTCGGCGTATAAATTTGCATTAATTAGATATAATTATTTTAATTTGCGTATAAGTATATATATATGAAAAATTTTTCACCGGGACTCGAAGTTTTCTCGAATACGAATGTGTTTAATTGTTACTGTTTTTATCCCGATGTGCTGATTGATTTGTTTTTCAACCCGATCGCCTTTTTCGTGTTTATGGTTTTAACTAAACAAAACACTAAATAAAAAAGGAAATAAAGCGCAATATATTAAAACGTCTCTATATTTATTTGCGTCGTAATTGATTGAAGTCTTTGCTAAGTTCGGTTTGAGTCTCTACTAAAAAATATCCCTGTTAGTAATGACGAGAACTGTCTGTTAATCAATTATCGATAGTTGGTTAGATAAAAAGCGCGCGATTTTGTGACAATTGATAATATAGGATGCTTTCCAGCTACACACACATGCGATACTGTGTAACACAGTGTCGTTTGTTAGTGTAAGTGAGACACACCGATATGCTTTTTCTCACACTGTGTTACACAGTGTCGTCTGTGTGACACGAAGCTGAAAAGCACCTATAATCAGAGATCTCGCGAAGGAATTTAAATCGATCGAAGAATCGTGCGTCGAATCATCGACATATTCGGTTCAATAAAATGTTATAGGTAAAAATATACCATAATTCTGAACAAAACAATATTAGATTGTTAATTAACAAAATTAGATTGTTAAAAGAAAAATGATTGTAATGAAATAAAACTAAAGTCTAAAAACACATGAAATTTTCAAATATTTTTGACAAAATTAGCGCGCTTTGTATATTATGAAAAAAAAAAAAAAAAAAAAACTAGTTTTAACTTGAAATTAGAAATAGAACAACAAAGTGATTGGTCACCGAGATATTTGCTCACCTTTTCCACTGTTATTTGTCAATCGATTTAGCACCGATTTCTCCGAATGATTATTACCTTTATTCTCATCATTGTACAGATTGTTGTTTACGCTCGATTAAATTATACTTGACAGTTGAAGGAAAATCAGTCAGTATAGAAGAGAAATTTATCTTTCAAAAGAAATATTCACTACCGTAGATAGAAAAGAAACGATTTCCGTCTGTGTTGAAATAAAAAATTCGCAGTTACGATAGTTTTTAATGATTGCGTTAATAAATTTTTAGAAATCTATAAAAATCATACAATACAGAGTGATATTATCAATAAAGTGATATTATGAATACAATCTCTTTGTGAATCACATTTCTGAAATTTCTAAATCGGAGAATTTGCAAATCGTTATTCAAATAAACATCGGAAGTTATTTATAAGTTATTTATATTTGTACGAAGTGTATTTTCTCATATCATCTTAAATGTGATTAATTTTACATTGATGCAATGTTGGGGAAAACACGTTAAAAAGCACAGCGCCAACAACAAGTCGTTCTTTTTTCTCAACTACAGTGACAACAATTTATTTGCTATAAAAATAGATATATCGCAAACCAGCAAGTAATTTGACCTAAAGCGCATCATCGGATCGAGACCTCTGTATCTTTATCTCGATTCTCGCAAGCACGTGATTTTACATACGATACAACGTATTCACGTGCATCCCCGATGTATTGTACATTCCCGATGAAATTCTCGGTAATACATACATTCCAAGATTTTATTAGCAATATATACATTCCAAGATTTTATTATTTTTATTATTTACTTTTATAAAAATCACAAAAATTTAATTTTCTGTGATATATTTTCTCTCTCATTTCGTTTGGTGCTATTCAAAAGAATAACGACGTCAACAAAATGGTTTTGCAAATGTCTTTAACAGCTTGTGCGAAAAAAAGATATGCAGGAAACATTGCAGGAAAGAAGTAATTACGATATTGCGCAATTAAGAGTTCAAATTGATACATCAAATAGTTCCGGTTAGCAACGAGCAAGATCTTGATTAATCGTTCTCTCTCTCTCTCTCTCTCTCCCCCTCTAAACTTAATTGTGCGTCACAAATAAATCAAGATAAAGATCTTTTTGTGCGATAGTTTTTTTCTTGAGATAATTTCAGCACATGTAAGTACTAAACGAAATACTCATAATTATACAATAATCATTACACAAATATCGATATGATTTTGATACAAAGAATTATATTACAGATTAAGTACATTAATTGCTTATTCTCCGTAAGTTATATATATATATTTTTTTTGATCGATATTTGTATAATAATCATTACACAATTGTGTAATAACCGTTACATAAATATCGACACCGATGACTGTGTAATGATTAAATCAAAGTGACTTGATAAAACAACAGTTCGCGCGCTGGCATTGAATTCTCACAAGTTTTACAATTCGCGCAATATTATATTTTTCGATGTTTGATGATATTTTCACATAACATTCCGTTTCATGCACAGTAGTTGTTGTTTGACAGTTTGACTTTTTTTTTGTGCGCGTATTTTATTTTTATCGACTTCTTCTAACTGACATCACGTTTTATTGCTATAAAGTTAGGTGATTATTAGTTTTAATGTCGTCACCTATTTGTTGTGAAGACATGTTTAAGCAATAGTAGATCTACTGAAGATAGTTCAAAAATAAAAACCAAAACGCGTTTGAATTAATCAACTCAACTGTTTTTATTGTAAAACACATTCCGCTTAAAGGGATACCGACAATAGAGACCTGTAAACCGACGTTTTTTAATTTTCCTCTGGTGTCGTATTTATTACATCAAATCCAAAAATGCTTCTCCTTGAAATAAATAAATTGTGCAAAAATTTCTCGCTAGCTACTTTTGGTTGTCGAAACTTAAGCATAAATTTTTACTGATAAAGTTTTCTTCTACAACCTCGTAATATATTCATGTGTGGCAAAATTATTTGTAAATTTTTATATACGTACTGAAACTTAGCGATAAAAATACGACAAAAAAGAATATAACGAGACATTCAGATTATGATTTGAATATGATAATTGATAAGAAAGTGGAAAATTTGTGATGACAGTATAGGTTAGATTATCACATGCTATCATTATGAATGAAAAAGAGTACAAAAGAGCATTGTATGCCCATTTTCAAAAGCGCCATATAGTTTTTTATATTTATTTGCTCTTGTAGAAGCACTTTTCATGTAATGCGGTAAATAAAATTGAAAATTAGAGAAAGTTAGGTTAGGTTAGGTTATAAAAACGTCGGTTTACAGGTTTCTATCGTCGGTATCCGGTACTTTCTTAAGAGGGGACTATAGAGACCTGTAAACCGACGTTTTTATAACCTAAATTTCTTTATTTTTTAATTTTATTTACCGCACAACATTAAAAGCGCTTCTACGGAAGCAAATAAATATACAAAACTATATAAAGCTCTTGAAAATGGGTATATAATGCTTTTTTGAACTTGTTTTTCATTCATAATGATAGTATATGGTATCAGATATACATCATCACACTATGACGTTGTCCTCATCAATTAGATAGTCAAACCATAATCTGAATGTTTCATTAGACTTTTTTTTTGTCGTACTTAGTGCGCTAACACAGTGTAAATATGTACATAAGCTTACAAAGAATTCTTACATACATAAATATATGGTGAGGTTATTGAAGGAAACTGTATAAGAAAAACTTTTTGTTGAAGTTTGACATTCCAAAGAGCTAGCGCACTGTCTTAGCACAATTTACTTATTTCTAGAGAAGCGTTTTCGATTTGATGCAGTAAATACGACTTAAAACGTGAAAAGAGAAACGTCGGTTTACAGCTCTCTACAGTCGGTATCCGATACCCTCTTAAGGTTCCAACAGCCTCATACAAATTCTAGTTTGAAATTATCAATACGAACTTGACTAGAGGATATATGTGTTTTCTTTCTTATCAATATTAATAATATTTTTCGTCATTGAATTCCGTCTCTCGACACCAGCAAAAGCGACCGAACGGTCTGAGATAGAATGTTGTTGTTATGTTTTTTTTTCAACGCAATTTTGTGCCCGAACACAGTCTGTGTGACGTCTTTCGATGACGCATCACAAGTTGTAACACAGGTTACGCTCGCGAAAGTAAAAGCCCAACGCCGCGTGAAATGTATTCAGTGTCTTCACGCCGGCTCCGAATTTATGACGTAACGTTAGGTTTTTATCGCGCGAATGTTCTGCGTAGACAAGCTTGATGACAGAAGTGTCGTGACAGAAGATAAATCATTGAGCTCCGCGTGCGCGCCGTTCAGTTGTCCTCGATCAAACCTCTTACGTGAGGCAATTCATCAGTAAAAAAAAAACTGCGAACTAATTACAATTTAACGCTCGATTTTCTTAGTTGCGCGCACGCAATGTGCGTACAAAGATGATCTGTTTACGCGCGAGTATTATCGAAAGGTACTGTAAATACACGTGTGTGTGTGTGTCTGTGTGTGATACGTTGCGATATTCAAATATATACCCAGTAAACAATTTGTTCGCAATTTGCCGGTAAATTGTCAGCAATTTTAAACAAAAATACTCACCAAATTGGCATCAACTGTGTCCGCATTTAGGCTTCGATTTTGTTGCCAAAGCTTGTCGACAAAAAAAGTAACAACAAATTGCTAGCAAAAACCGAGCAAAGCTTGATACGTATTAAAACATATTTTGGTCTGAGACCAAATTGACGCCAAATATGAAGCAAGATCATCTGCGTAACACGACACAGCTTTGCTTAGTTTTTGCCAGCAAGTTGCTGTTATATTTTGTCAACAAGCTTGAATATATTTTTGCTAGCAATTTTTCAAACATTGCCAGACAAAACAAACTCCGCATCATATATTTGATGTCTTTTCTCTGCTAATAAAATTTGTAACAAGCATTTGGCAAAATCTGTTTCGACAGATTTGGTTATCTGGGTATATATATATCAATTACGTTCTCGACGAAGAACGAAAACAATAATAAACATGAAACAAACCTGTGGAAATTTGCAAGTACTGATAAATCTCTCTAGTTTTTTTTCCACGCGAGTTTTCAATAAAAATAAAAGAATAATTCGCGTTTCTTTTAGACGACCAATACAATTTTAACCTTGTTTTATTAATCGATCGTGAATCGAAATCGAGGGTAACGGGATTTTTTTTTCTACACTTTTATACATTGCTATTTATAATTTTTAACTAAAAAAAAAAACTTAAGTCACAAATAAAAAACATATCGAAGTGAACTGCGTGTTATAATCTTATCGCGTGTTATCTGTATATACATATTGTATAGCGTTGACAAGAGTTGATAGGATCATAATACACAACCCATCCCTCCGTGTAACGTCTTACGTTACCGCGGGAATCTCCTGAGCTTTCACGGTGTTTCGTTCGCGGTAACAAAAAACTCATTCTCAAGGTCGCCGGAGTGATCCCTTTATCTGCGGCGCGGCGGATCTTCCTGTTCCGCGTCGGGACTCGCGAAACAGGATGACAATCGCGAAAAGTTACGGAGAATCTCTCTCGCGCGTCAAAAGAAAGATAATCACACGCGCGAGAGAGAGAGATAGAGAGAGATACACGACGCGGCGCCACTCCGACATTCCGACCGATTAAGTATTCACTCGTCGTTAACTGCATTCTGAACTCTGGGAGATGTTCCTCTTTCCCCTCTCTCTCTCTCTCTCTCTCTCTTTCTCATCCTTCTTTCATTCTCTCTTACTGGGGGTTCCCCTTCCCGTTTTCCGACTTGTCGGCGAACTCGTCATTTATTGTGAAACGCGTAACACGTGACCGGGGTGAATCCGCGATCTTGTCGTTGTTTTTCCCCACCAGGGGGAATCCTGACGGAGCGAAGCGTCGAACAGGTACGACAGAAACGACTCCCCTGCACGACCGCTGTCGCTTCCTCTTCGATGCCGCTTCATTCTTCGCTTACGTGTGGCTCACACATTCCGTCCGGACTGTATGTGTGTGTGTCTGTGTGTGTGTGTGTGTGTATACTGATCTTCCCGCGGTCTCGCGCAGCGCTCTTTTCTCCAGAGGGTCGGTGGTTTCTTAAAAGACGCCGGGACGTCTTTGGCGTCACTTAGTTCGTTTCGCGCTGGTTTATCTGTCGCGAACTGTCCGTCCGCGTTCAGACACTTGTTCTGTTGCACGCAAAACACTGAAAATTATTAAAATTATTATTAAGTACGTTACATCGCGCAATTGTTTTGTTTTTTTTTTTTTGTTTTTTTTTAGGAGTTCTTGTTGCTTTCGTTGTCCGAATCGCGACAAAGTGGATGTGGCGTGTTGACGAAATCTCTCTTGGACTTGGGAACAACAAAACTTCTTCATCCGCATCGTCGCTTCTATCAAGCGTCATTTAGCCCGGCGGTGTATCATCGATTTGATCAATTACTTTATTATCATCGGCGACAGAGTCGACGATGCGCAACTGTGCGACTGATGCTTTAGTTTTCGTTTGACACATTTCTCGGGACGATCGACTGCCAGACGTCGAATACACAACCGAAGACAACAAGCTTATTTTCTTGGAGACTGTCGTTGATGATAAAAAAAGAGGTAATATTGAAAGATTAACACATTTAATTAACATAAAAATCGACACATCTTTTTTGAATATTTGTGATGGATATGAACGAATGGTATTACACACGTGCCAGAAATTGCGTTTTGCAAAACTAGCGGAGAATTTTAAATGCGAGCCGTATTATTTTGAAAATATATTTTTTAAACGTTTAAATTACTACACACAGAAATTAAATTCAAATCAAAAATTCATCTAAAATACTTAATTTACATCTCGTATTTCGATATATATATATATATATCCAAAGATATATATATATATATATATATATATATCCAGATATATATATATATATCCAAATTATTCATTTTACTCTACTATGAAATTAAAAAAAAACCCATTGTGAAAAAACTTTTGCACGCACATTGGCTGTATGGGTTTAAAATTTCTTGGATTTTTTGCAAAGTCAGAAAATCTTCGGGAATTATTTTTGCAATTGGATTAGATCGTTTATTAATTTGATTCGAGATTTTATCTTCTCGTACTCACTGTGAATTTTTCTTTTTTTTTTGGAATGAAACAAAATGCGTTGCAGGAAAACCACTCTGCTTTCATTAGCATATTATTATTAACACACTCCGTTATTACCGGCAAGATTTATCGATGATTACAACAGTAATCAGCGAAACATCAACCGCGGTCTATGAATTATTCCGCGGCATCTGCTCAACACATACACACACACAGACACGCACACACGTGTGTATGTACATAGTGCACATAAAACAAGACCGGAATGTGTCTCGTATCGCATTTTAAGTAACATACGCGCGTGCTACTTCTACACGAGTCGCGAGTTAACGCACGTATATATCTCCCTCGTTCGGGAAATTCCTTTGAAGAAATACGTTCGGGAATCCCAGAAATTCTAATCCCTCAGGATCTACAATGCGAGATCAAAAAGTGTTTTAATAATTATATCTCTCTCGAGAAAATTTCAAACGCACTATTGTATCTCAAACGCTATATCGAGTAGAAAAGAAAATGTTTTCTCCAACGAGAAATATATTTGAGATGTAATATAATTTAATGTTCTTTTTTTCTTGCTTTTGCATTATTGTTTAAAACCTTTCATATCTAATTCCGGACTGCAATTAGTTTATTATAAGATTTTAGTGTTTCCCGGTGTAGTTTCCCCGTATTTCAATAGGAAATTCCCCGCGTGTTTCGTGGAAACACCCAAGCGGTAAAACGTTAATGAGAAAGTATATAATACCTGTTCGTTGCATTTGTGAAACTATTATCGGTTGACTTTTGACGTCATCTATCGACGCTGCTGATATTTCCCCGACAGCACTATAACTCACTCGACCTCTTAAAATTAACACACACACACACACGTGTCATCGACACGCAATCAAATAAAAGTGTAATATAATACTAACTTTGAAATAAATTATTAAAAGAATGAGAAAATTAAAAAAAAAAAAAATTCTAATAACGTAACGTAATCTTGCGATAATAATAGCACACACACACACATCTCGGTACTATTTAAGTACGATAAAAAAATATTTCGATTATAATTAAGTAACTTTTCCAATCCGTTATCTTCTTATGCGTGTAATACATTACGTAATATGATAAATAATTCCATTATTTGTCTGAACTTCAAATTTTTTTTTTTTTTGCAGAGAGATATATCAATAGGATATTGTTAACATTTGCTCATTCCAATTAAGTGCTGCGATAACAGTGCGTAATCAGTACTTGTACGTAAAGAGTCTCACAATTGCATAACGATAAAAAAACAATATCTGGATGATAATATTAGTTGTTCGAAAGCTTAAATGCGGATTAACGTGTAATCGAAGAAAAATCTAGAGAAAAATATGCAGCATATATATATATATATATATATATATATATATATAATATATAATACTGATTTCTTCCCTTCTCGCTCTATATATTGTGATATCAATTTCTAAATTATGTTCGCACGGTAACTTGATTAATTTTTACAAGATATGCTGGATGTTTTTCTCTAGGTTTTTCTCCGATTACACGTTAATATATATATATATATATATATGCTGCATGTTTTTCTCTAGATTTTTCTTCGATTACACTAATATATACTTCGATTACATTAATATATACATATATACATATATATAAGCTAATATTAATCAATTTTCAAATGTAAGAAAGAAATAGACGTGTAGAAATACGCGAGAGAAAAAGGTTTTCCTGAATTCTGTTTTTTTTCCGTAAAATATTTATAAAAGTGACGTGAAACCAATCGTTCTTGCGATCGATCGATTGCCGCGTGAACTTCTCACTTGAATGATCTTACCTTGAACGACACAGAAATCGTTTCTCCCTCGGTATCTCCCACCCCGGTGGCTTTTGACTTTTTTTTTTCTTTACCTACCTGTGGACGGAGGGTCACTCCGTGTACTTTCACTGCATTCGATTCCTTCTCGTGCCTAGTACTGCCGCGCATTTCAAAGATCGCCACTTCTTCTCGCGTTCCTCTCGTCTATTACGCCAGCGCGATTTAACGAACAAGCACCGTTAAATCGCGCTGTTGAATCGACGAGCGATCAGAAAAATCAGCGCAGTGCAACAGAGGAGAGGAATCGCGATTCCCACGTTCCGTGTGTTTTTTTCCGCGATGATTTTTATCTCTTCTCTCATTTTGTTTTGCAACGATTGTCGGTTCTATAATCGGATGCATCTTGAATCGTCAAAACGCTCTTGCACGAAACAAAGTATGATTGAGAAAATGCAATTGTAACAAAGTAAGAAACAAATTCGCACTATATCATCAGAAAAATAAATCTGTACTAATTGACAGAAAACTTAATGCAAAAAAAAAAAATTACATTAAATTTCTGTTTTTGTTGTTTCGAATTTTTATCGCAGCGTACAGTGTGAGCGGAAATCACATTGACACTATTTTTTTTCTTACATTTCCGATGTCGCGCTTCGACGATTGCGCGCAACACAAAGAATCTTTCCAAAGAATATAAAATAAATGTAAAAAACTATCTTTTTTTTATTCGTGTATATAAAATGTTCGCGACAAAAAATTATCTTTTTCTCGATCGACTTTTAAAATTCTCTCTCTTTTTTTTTTTTTTTTACTCTAAGCGATTGTTATCTCGCTGAAAAATATGTACATCTGGTGGTAAATGTGTTTTGACACAAGCACAAACATCTAGCGCGCGTGTTAGGTACATATGTGTGTAAATGTGCCACTAACGGGTGCGTTTCCATGCGCGAGGGGGGGTCGCGTTATCGCGCGACGCTCTCGACGGCGACGTGATGATGATGATCGGAGCGAAGATCCCCGGCAGATATCGAATAGCACACCGTGTATATATACGCTGGATGAAAAAGTGTGATTAGTGTGGTGCGTCAACTCTCGCGGTTATACACGGTGTCGCAAACGTACTCTTGTTTCTTTTCTCTCGTTTGAGATCCCGAAAATCGCGTTGAACACCGGGAAGAAAGAACAGTTCGATGCCACTGTGGGAGAGAATTCGATAGACGGCAAAAACCAAAAAAAAAAAAAGGTACACGACCGAAACGTCGTTTTATTGCACGTGCGATTTTACACCGACCGACTGTAAACGTTTTAGATGATTTCAAATGTTTTTTGTTTTTTGTATTATATTCGCTCGACTCTCTTGTTAATTGCTTCAAAAAAAAAAACTCAGTAATCTGGTTTCATATTTAAAAAATAAAAAAAAACATCGCGTCGTCTTGATCGGCGTAATTGTTAATTACCCTTTTCGACACCGGATGATTCTGAAACGCGTTTTCACAGACCGATTGCACAGACCGTTGCTGGTGAAATCTAAGTTTTCAAACAAGTTAAGACAAACCGCATACGTCGGAATCAAACAAACACAAATTATGGTCGGATTATATCTTATATATATTTTAAATGTATTACAATTATTACAATTATATTTTATATTCGAATAGTTGGCGCATTCAAACAAAGTAGTCGATATCAAACGAATAAACGATAATGTCTGACAAATATCTGTTAGAATGTAAAAAAAAAAAAGTAACGCGATAAGAAAAATTCATTATCATATATTACAGAGTTCACTGATAGCGAGATGATATCAGACAAACTACGTGTATATACAGGTGTGTTTTTTTCATTTGTGACCTGTAATACAGAGAATTGCAGCCTTGATGAACAAAAAAAAAAAAACACTTTCTTTTGTCGTCAAGTGTCACTTATCTGTAACAATTTATCTCGCGACAATTGTTTAATCGTAGAATCCAGGAAATGTGTGAATCATTATCAGTCTTAAGATCTTTTTTTCATCATAAAAATTTCATCAAAAATTTCATTGATATCGTCATAAAAGAAATAATCAATGGTGCGAAGTTTTTTTTTTAGCAGCTAATTGTACAAACGCCGAGAACAATGTTAATTGTCATGGAAGAATTTTTGTCGTCGTGCACGTAAAATCTCTGAATCTTCTCCGTGATAACGTAACTTCCATCGCGTTTTATAAATAAAAAAAAAGTATTACGCGAGACATTATCTTAGAAAGAAATAACGTGACTTTTTCGCATTATCTAATTGCGAGGACAACTCTTTGCAACTATTATTATCGTCGTTAATGTGGTCATTCTCGGTGTCAAAATGAATTATCAGTTACCTCGTGTCACACCTCCCTTCCGTTAATCTAACTCCGGTAAGTCGACAAGACCGAAAACCCTGGAAAAGCCTGAGCACGCAAAAAAGTGCAGAAATGAGTATAAAATTTCCTTGCAACTACACGGTGCAAAAATTCTTGCTTAGTAACAGAATATCCTGAAAAAAAAAAGAGAGAGAGATAAAATACGTTCCAAATGCGCGAGTCGGCGCGCCTAACTCTGCTGACTGAAATAAGTATCCGCGCGAACAATGTTCAGATAAAACTGTCAGTTGAAAAGATTAGGCACGTATCTTTGTGATGAATTTCGAATAGATTGGGCCGCAGCTTAGTGGTGCGAGTCAATAAATTAAATAAAAACAAAAAACAAAAAGAAATAAAATTGCAACTAAATGAATCGACCGATTAAACATTGATAAAAAAAATATTTCAAGAGTCTCTCTCGGTGTACACTTAATTATAATAAAAGAAAATTAAAAATCATTTGAATTTTGACATGTCGTGAAATTTCGCTTGAAAATTTATATTGTTTTCAATAAAAAAAAAAAATTAATAATAATAATTTCGTATCACTTACCACAAAATTTTGGGGCGATAAAATTCATTATTACGAAATTGTTGTGTAAATTGCAGTAAATTGGACGCAAGAAATTTCAGCACGATGTCGTCCTCGCAATATTTTCTTGCTGCGACAAAATTGTTGAACGATACCGAGCTTCATGAACACGACGAACATTCCACGACCGAGGAGACGGAGAAAGATGGATTGATCGCCAAGGCTGTCACTATGGTAGTTTTGTGCACTGTCAGCACGGTAATGGGCATTATACCAATGTTTCTGGCAAAGATGCTCAAGTGGAACATTGAGGGACAAAATCCTAGGTAAGAATTTTATTCGTCACAAAAGAGAGAGAGAGAAAGAGGGAAGGAGAGACGTATCGAACTCGATGCTAGAAAATTATATAAATATAACAAATTGATTTTTTTCATTTGTCAATATTCTTATTTGTTTTTTTATTATATTTTTTTATTTATATTTCTATTTGTTTTTTATTTGTCAGTTTATTCGCGGCTTTGTATGAAAGTGCTCGAAAATCTCGTAAAATGACGACAAACAGTTGTATATTTGTTCGTTACGTTTAAGAGATTACGATGTAATCTACAATTGACACAATTACGCGCTTTGCGTATCTCACCGATATCTCGTCTTGAATATTCTTCGACTATTGCAGCACGATCGAATGGACGACACAATTAACGAAATATCATACACATTTTATGTAATTCTGTAGGACCTTAAAAGTGGTGAGCATGTTACTCGGCTTCGGAGGTGGTGTTCTCTTTAGCACGACGTTTCTCCATCTGATACCGGAAGTCGCGGAAGGTGTGGACGAACTCGTCGAAGACGGTAAAATGCAGGAACAGAAATTTTCAGTGGCGCAGGCTCTCTGTTGCACCGGGTGAGTCAATTCTCTATGACTCAATTACATGTGTAGATATATATATATGATATAAAAACCAGTATATAAACATAAAAATACCGGCGAAGGTTGAATATATACCTTTCAATCGACAAGCGATAGTTTTCAACACAAAAAAAACCACAAAGAACATTTCTCAGTCAAATATAAAAATCTCCAGAACATATCGTCACTCCCTACGTATAATTGCATAAGTGTCGTATACGGGATTTTCAGTTTATTGCATAGTGACATTTATTAAGTCATGTTCTGTTTTTTTTTTTTTTGGTCACCAAATATGAAAAATGTTCAAAAAAGGTAAAAAGTCGAAATAATCCTAAAGTGGGTCTGTTTTATCGATAAAACTGAATTTTTCGCGCACACTCAGTTTTTTTTTTGGCTGTACGAATCGACAAATCCTTTTCTACGATTAAAGTACATACAACAAGAGATACGGGAGATCCAAATTTATATAACAAAATGAAAAAAATTAAAATTTTTAAAACATTTTTTTTCATTTTGTTCAAATTTATATTTAAAAAAATGAAAAATTTGGATCTCCCGTATTCCTTGTTGTATGTACTTTAATTGCAGAAAAGGATTTGTCGATCCATACAGCCAAAAAAAACTTAGTGTGCGCGAAAAATTCAGTTCTATCGATAAAACAGACCCACTTCAGGATCCCCTTAATTAGAGAAACATATGAAGTTTTCAAACCTTGAAACTGCTTTCCTCTCAAATTTGCGTTTCGCAGTTACGAGATTTATACGTAGGGATTGACGATATATAATCAATATGCAATTAATGATTTTTACACATTTATTTAATTTTTTTATAAATCGGTAATATCAAATCAATATCTAATCATTGATAACGTTTAATTGTTTGTAATAATTCTTTTTGTTTTCTTTTGATGTCGTTACAACAAATAAATAAAATTTTTTACACTTTGGAATCAATCATCAATTAATTTTTACGCGAACTTTTTTCGCAGGTTTTTTATCATGTACCTCGTGGAGGAGTCCGTGCACACGTATTTGAGGAAGCGACAAACGAAACAGCAGGTCAACACCAAGAAGGACGTGAATCGCAGCACAAACGAATTGGTTGAGAACGGTCAAGCGTCTTCGTGCGCCAGCAACGGACACGCACACACGTAATCCATTATATGTTTATGGCTTTTAAACTTCAAAAATACAGACATTTATCAAGTTTTTATCGAATGACATTTTTAACGACGCGAAGAAATCGTCGACAACTTCGATCATTTTGTAATTTATAGGGGCCACAGTCACTTACCGGAGATAATAACCGACGACAACGACGACGACTTTGTGATATCGTCGCTCAGAGGTTTATTAATAGTGCTCGGTTTGTCCGTCCACGAGCTGTTCGAGGGACTTGCAATCGGTTTGGAGAACTCGACCAGCCATGTCTGGTAAATTGCGGAATACTAACCGATTCGAGTCGCGTACGCGCTCGAATCAAATGGATCATTGAATCGAGTTTCGCTCCCCTCGGCGAAACTAATACGCGAGAGAGCGAATCATGATAAACGACACACGAATTCCGATTTGCAGGTACATGTTCCTCGCGGTTGCGTCCCATAAATTCGTGATAGCCTTCTGCATCGGAATCGAGCTCGTCGCTTCCAGAACCAGACGGTATCTATCGATAATTTACGTGTTCACGTTCGCCGTGGTATCGCCGTTAGGAATCGGCATCGGGATGGCTCTCGTAGGAGGCAGCAGTGCGGCCGCGAGCGGACCGTTGGCTGTGATATTGCAGGCGAGTTTCATCAGAGAGATAAAATAAAAAAAAAAAAACTTTCGACGCATTTTTAATATAAAAATTATAATATTAGATCTACCGGAAAGTTCTGTCCGTTTTTTTTTGGAATAAAACAAAATACAAATTTTTCTTAATTTTTCAAAAATGGGATATACAAATTGCCCTCACGCTGGCAAGAAATCATCAATATAATAATCGCAATTATATTATTTAATAAAGTTTATTATTGACGGTAAAAAAAATTTGTATTTTGTTTTATTCCAAAAACGGACAGAACTTTCCGGTAGACCTAATATATGCGTATTGTATTACAAAAGTAACTCGAGGCTCGTCGATTTTTTGTAATTTTTAATAAATTACAAACGCAAACAAAGAATCGGCGAGGAAAAATTGTAGATTTTTCAGGACATTCGCATTCCAAAAAAAACAAAAAAAAAAAAAAATGCAATGTAACGTAGAGATCAATTGTGCGACGTAAAAATTTATACGACACGCAAGTGGAAAACTATTCTTAACAATTATTTCTTCGTCACATTGACGCAGGGTTTGGCGTCGGGTACTCTGCTCTACGTGGTGTTCTTCGAGGTTCTGCAAGAACATCGAACCGGACTCAAGCAATACATCTCGATACTCGTTGGTTTTCTCGTAATGTTCGGCCTGCAGATGCTGAGTAAGTGTGTAAACTATAACCAGTCTTATTTCACATTAATTCGCAATTTAATACATAAAAAAAAAAAAAAAAAAAAAAAACCGATATTCAGCATTAGGCACAAGTGTTTTCCCTGAGTGTGTGTCATGCGCGCATCGTTTATCTCTTCGCGTGATTTGACTTCTTCGAATAAACAAAAAACTGAAAAGTTTAACAGATAAGAATTGTTTGTATTTTGCGCACGCACTTTTTTTACGCTTACTTATCGACGTTTCAATTATAAAGGGTACATTCGATCCTTTTGCAAGTGTGTTCTCAGCCTCCCCCGGGAAAAAATGGATCAGATCTAACTTAAATTTAACGAGATAAAAACAAAAATGGAAAAATAGATCTAATCAGATCCAAATTAAATCTAAATAGATATAAAGCAGATCTAAATAAATATAAAGTAGATCTAATTAAATTTACACTTTTTTATATATTATTAAAAATCTACTTTAGACCTACTCGGATCTACTATAATTAAAACCACTCGGATTTAGTTTAGATTCGAGCAGATCCGAACAGATCTGAGGTGATCTAATATAATAGATCTGAGTAGATCTCTCAAGAGTAGATCTAATAATAAATAAAAGTGTAAATTTCTATAGATCTATACTTATATCTATTTAGATTTATTTTATATATTTATTTAGACCTACTCTCTCTTTACATCTATTTAGATTTAATTTAGATCTAATTGGATCTATTTTTCCATTTTGTTTATCTCGTTAGATTTAAATTAGATCTAATCCATTTTTTCTCGGGCTCCTAAAAAACGTAACAATACAATGATCAATTGATATAAAATATGATGTGTAAAATGATAAGGCGCAAAGTGATCAAAAGTCTCGTTGTGTAGCTCAAAAAACTTTGAACTTAGCGACCTTCTCGCGAGGTTCTTTAACTTGGTTTTTTTTTTTCTTCCAATCTGTCAAATTTTCGTAATTTATTTAAGTAAACAAAATTGTAAATCAGAATGATGAAACAATGTACTTGGAAAATTGAATCTTGGAACGTACAGAATGAGGATAATTTCGAGCGTTGATGTCCGGGGTCGCGGAGGTTATCGCGTCCCGCGTGCCTATCCAGATTGTCCAGTGAGCGCCAATAAGTGATTGCCAGACATTGGTCACCACTGGCCAGTAGTCAACAACCACTTATCGCAACGTACTTCAGGCGTTACACACACACAAACACACACACACACAAACTCGCGTGTTTTCAAGCATCGCGAAGAGAAAGAATATATCGCGCGCCGAGAGACCTCGATGTTCAAAAGCCGACGACGGCGTCGTCGCGCACGCAGGATGAAATCGAGAGGAGGCTAGAGAGGTGAAAGGGGGGAAAAAAGAGAATGTGTGGAGCGTCAGACACAAACGCGACGGTCTATGCCAAAGGACATCCTGTGTCGGATGATTCATTCGCGGCACGATTCCCGTAACGGTGATTATTATTATTTTGCTCCTCCGAGAAAAAACTTCCCCTGCCGCCGACGGAACAATGATCGTCGTTGTTGGACGGATAATCAGAAAGTAACCGATGCGCGAAAAATCTCGCGCTTACCGTCTTGTTTTGTTCGCGCGTTTTCTTTCCTCTACTCTAGCAAAGTATCCTTCATGCGCGGCTTATCATTAGAACTCGTAAAAGAAAAGAAAAAAAGGGAACAACGGGAACTATCGCGAAAGTGAATGGCACGATTATTTTATTATCGAACGTAATTGAGATAGAGAAAGAGAGAGAGAGAGAGAGAAAGAAGCGAACACACAAACCGACTCGCCCGATCGTTGCCCGTCTGTCTATAATCGCGAACGTTGTACACCTAAAAGGATATATGTTTCACGGTTCTTTGAAATTAATTTTATACAACAACGTTCGCTTCGTGTTCAATAGAGCGTCCGAAATAAATGGGATACACTCCTTTCGCTCTTGATGCGAAAAGGGTGAAAGTATATTCACAGTGCCGCGGTAAATAATCACCTCGGAGAGGCGTGCGATCGTGTCCGCGCGGCCCACATCGCGCAAAAAAAAAAAAAATCATGTCCGTGCCTTTGAAAGCATCGAGCGCAGCGGCAAGATTTTACTTTTACATTTTCTCATCCTGCAACATTGTATGAAATGAAAATTTAATAGTTGAGAGAGAGAAATTTATTTTCATCAGATCAAAGCGCGTGAAGAGACTCGCGCGCGCGCGCGCGCGCGTGCGCGAGAGGTCGAATCTTCTCTCGTCGAACGAGAAAAGGTAAATCCCCGAGAGAGAGATCCATTTTTTCAACTTCCTTCTTCTTTTTTTTTTAAACTCGCGTGTTCTTATCTGCCACTTGAGGAGAATCCGTTTCCTACGTCGATCTAATTCGGAAAAATGCAAATGTTAGTTGTAAACACCGTAACTACCCGGTAAAAAATTTTCCATTTATAAAATTGTATGGACATATTCGGTATATAATAAATTTGCACAATTAGATATAATAAGTTTAATTTGTGTACAAGTATATACGATTATATATCAAAACTTTTTTAAAAATATAGTAAAAACATAGTTTTATATAATTTTTTTGTATCTAACATGATACTAATAGAGTTATTTTGTTAATTCGATATGGAATATCTCTGAAGCCATTCTCTTAAAAAAAGAAATTCTCCGTGTGTAAAATTGTATGGACATATTCGGCATATAAATTTGCATAATTAGATATAATTATTTTAATTTGCGTATAAGTATATATGAAAAATTTTTTACCGGGTAAATGTAGAGAAAAGTTTGTGTCTGCGCGCGTGCCTTGTCTGTGAGCGCGCGCGCGCACGCGCGCGAGGATCCTCGATGACTGTGTTGTCGAAATAACTTCTCTTATTTCACGTCGTGTGTCTATATAACATTACGCACACGACGACTTCTATATATATACAAGTTATGTATACACGTACGAATAGGAACAAACGCTATTCGTTGCTCTTCCTCTTGACTGACCGATATTTGGATATCTCTCGCTTCAAAAGTAATCACAATCTTCCAACACACACATTGCGTTTGCGCAATCAAACATACGTCACATAGTCGGTTTCCGATATTCAGTTCTTCTCCCTTTTCACTCGCGCACAAGTTGTTTTCTTCTTTTTTTTCTTGTCTATCTTCTCTTTATTTATTTATTTATTTATTTTTTTATTTAATTCTTGTTTTTTCTTTTCGCTTTTTTCTCCTCTCGCGATTTCGCGCCCACGTGACGGAGAAGAATCCCTTCTGGTTCTCCCTTCTGTTTTTCCCCTTCCTCTACAGATTTAACGAAACAAATCTGTTAATTTTTACGCCACGGAGTGAGGGGGATCGGATGTGGTGTGCAGGTGCAGAAGTGAGCGTGTAATGGTACGCGCGCGATTGTTGGGAGAAGGATGAGCGCAAGCGGTCGCGGGAGTGGGCAGGAAACGGTTCGGGCTCGGACTATGTAAGACGACGAGGCGGCGGCCGAGGGGTCCGATCGAGCCGAGTTACCGTCGAGACCGGGAGTTAGTGTCCGATCGGTCGCCGCGGCGAGTGCAGCCGGTTATCACGTGTATCGATATAGATTGGATACAACTCTTGCTGTATCGCTGCTTTGAAAAACAAAAACGCACTATTTTTAATTTTAATAAAAAATCGAGAAGATACTGGGAGGAGGAGACACACACACCGCCGAGGTGTGTGCGGGCACCAAGGATTTCCAACGAGAGATTATGAGTGTCGTCGTCGACGAGAACGCACGTGAGAAAGAAGTGGTAAAGTGGTAAAACGAGATCTCTATAAAAAAAAAAAAAAAAACATCCACGCGACATTTAATGCATCACGGTTGAATGTGAATTCTCACCGGTGACGTTTCGCGTGTTGTTCAACGAGAGAGAGAGAGAGAGAGAGAGAGGCGCGCGACCGCCTTCGAATAACAGAGGCGTGATGCTCGGCATGATTGTGAAATCGTCCAAAGAAAACTGAACTGAAAATCAAAGTTCGCTTCTTCACACAAGAAATAAAATTCTTTCGTTATCGTTATCGAGTTTCTTTCTATTCGGAAAAAGAAAATTGCGGGGCGGTGTCTGTGTAACAAAACGCAACGAGAATGGAAGATACGACGATGTCAAGTATCCTCCTGATGTCCAAGATCGGCGCGATGGTCGGTCTCGGTTTTGGTTCTCTGGTTTTGGGAACGTTGCCGCTGATAGTCGGTCGTTACAGAACCAAGAAACGACTTCAAAAACGTCGCCGAGCGATCTCGTCCGATCGCTCGAGCACATCCACGACGTCGGCTTCGATGTCGATCGTCGACACGACGACTTCCGTGGCAAACAAGCAAGTACGTCCTCGATATATATATAATTCGCCTGAGTGTGTTTTCATCACGGCGAACGCGATTTGCAATTTCTCCGGAAAACTCGTTCTCTTGTGTCGTATTATTCGGTAAAGTCAAACTCTCTCGGCAAAAGATATTATTCCCCAATTACAAAACGTTGCTGAGTGAGAGAAAACTCGCGAGAAAAAAACAATTTCAAATGTTTTTCAAATGTTTTCGAATTTTCTTGATTTTTTTTTTGTTTTTTGAATTCAATTATTTCGATCGATTTTAGTTGGAAATAAAAAAATTTCTTAAAATTCTTAGTTGACTTCGGTGCTTACAGATTTCTCCGACGCGTATCTCTTATTAATGTATATGTTTACATTTATATTTCTGTTAATGTGAACGCGAACACGCATTTCAAACGACACAAAGTCGAGGCAAATTAATACCTGATCGTTTCAAAGAATGGGGGAAGGTCGTGCGGAAAGAGAGTATGTGGATTTTTTTTACCACGATTACATACGTGTGTGTGTAATGATACACTTGATCGATCATGTATTAATCGTATCACATCCGGAGTAAGTGCTCATTAAACATACAGGGTGTTCGATTTGTTTATCCGTTGTTTAAGTAAATCGGGAAATCTCGGTCACTTCAATTTTTTTTATTTTTTATTTTTTATTTTCATCCGAAACTCACGAGCATCCTGTATTCTCGAAAACTGTAGTCTCGCAAATCCCCCCCCCCCCAAAAAAAAAAAATGATTTCCAAAGCAAAAATCGCGACGATCTTTCTCAGGGTCTGTTAACATCGCTGTTGCTCTGTTTCGGCGGCGGAGTGCTCCTATTCACGACGTTTGTACATCTGGCGCCGGAAGTGCGCGAGAGCGTCGAGAGACATCAGTCGAACGGCCAGTTACCTGTCCTGGGCACTCTCGGTCTGGCCGAGCTGTTATTCTGCGGCGGTTTCTTTCTTGTTTATCTGGTTGAGGAGGCCGTGCACGCCGCTCTAACCGGCAAACCCGAATCCTCGGAAGCGTTGCTGTACCGCACCGTGTCGGTGCGTAGGTGCAACAACAATCAAACGGGCTCGTCAGGTTCGCCGGTTACGTTGAACGGTTCGATCACCACCATGTCCACGACAACCACCACCAGGTCCACGTGTAGAGAGATCGACGATCCGGACGAGGACATCGAAAATCGCGCGGATTCGAAGCGATCCAAGTTCCAGCTCAATGACCTTCACAATCATCAGGTCGGCAAGGACGACAAGGTTTTGCCAGCTATATTTGTTCTGTCGTCCCCCGCCGCGTTGTCAAACGAAGGACGTCAGGTTGTCGAGAGATCTTCCACCGCCGAAGGATTGACGGAACTGAACTATCCGCGTATCAAACATCACCATGAACATCATCATCATCATCATCATCAGCATGGCGTGATGTCGCAGAATACCTCGGTTCAAGGATTGCTGACCGTGTTGGCGTTGTCCTTTCACGCAATATTTGAAGGTCTGGCTGTGGGTCTGGAACCGTCCATCAGTTCGGTGGTTTATCTGGCAGCGGCCATCGCTACCCACAAACTTGTAATATCCTTCTGCGTCGGAATGGAGCTCTACGTGGCCGGCGCGTCGACCAAGACCACTCTCGGATATTTGTCCATCTTTTCCATGGTTACCCCAATTGGTATCGCCGTGGGACTTGCTCTGGGTCACTTCAAGAACGACAGCGAGAACTTGGGACCGACGCCAACTATACTTCAGGGCATGGCGGCCGGCACGCTCCTCTACGTGGTGTTTTTTGAGGTTCTGGCGCGAGAGAGAGCGAACGAAAAGAGCGGCCTGCTGCAATTGGTCGCGATCATTATCGGTTTCATGCTGATGCTGGGTCTACAGATTGCCAGTGAGTTTGTGTTGTGTGCGCGCATTTCCCGGAAAACGCGGGGAATCTCTAGAGCGCATCACGGAACGTGTCACGGTATATCGCGACGATACCGCTGATACCGGATAAGCGTCGTTATTATCATGTCCTTCGTGACTGTCACGTTGTGTTTTGCGTGATCGGGGAAAATTTCCACGTGTGACAAATGCGGAATCACATTTGGTTGCGTGTAAAATTTATTATCGAGGGTGAAAGTTCCCCCAGAGTCCCCATTAGGTCTCTTAACCGGAAGACGTCATCTCTTCCTGGATAATTTTTTCGTTTACGTTACCGCTCGCGGACATCGCGGTTTTGAACGTGTGAACGATTAACAAAACGCGCCATTAGAGTTGGCCGAACATGTTCGTTTCGGTGCAAACCTGTTACAGGTACGCCCTTGAGATACACTTGACGTGTCGGGTCTAAAGTGATCTATCGATTTGCCGAACTAGTGGAATTATAACTGAAAAGTCAGGGTCAGGGCTAATTGGGAGAAGAGGTGAGGCAATCGCGACAAAAATCTTCGTCGCGTGCAACAACCGTTTTGTCTAAAGAACTTCGTTTGCCCGCTCGGCACATTTTTTTTTCGAAGTGTCGTTGTTCGGTTGTAAGAATTAATTGACTTACTTCTATCTTCATCGCTCTCGATACTTTGTTGTCTATAGATTGAAATCAATAAGAACACACGCGATGTGTTACGTAATTAGTACAAGAGATATTTATACAAGAGATATTTATCAAAATTAGTTGCTACAAAACACAAATTTATTTCTGCAAAATACGTAGTTGCAAATGTTTCTTAAATAAGAAAAAAAAACAATTAATTTCTTTGATCATTGTTGAATATAATTTTCGAAGAAGCTGAGTCTCGCGATTTAAATGTCATTGATCCAAGCTTGCCGTCTTCATCGGCATGTGAATCATTTATATACACACAGACGATGTAGGTATAACACTTTGTCACACGTATCCGATAACACGCTGAACAGACTGCATGAGTGTCATTTCGCCGAGAAAGTAAACGGCACAGGTAAGAGAGATGAATCGTAATAACGGTTACCTCTGCGGATATACCACTTGTTACGCAATCCTAATTGCATCCCGACCTTCTCGCGAAAGTGCGAAAGGTTCAGAATTTGCTAACGATAGAAGACGGCCGCAAGAAGTAGCGTAATATTTTAATTCAAGTATTTAAAATTTAAGTTTTAGCAAGAAAAATTAATATTACTAAACTTTTATTTAAAAAAAAATATATATATAATTATTTAAGGTAAACTGATATAAAATATTTTTAATTGTCGCATATAATATATAGCTATATATAATAATAATTATATAATAATATATATAATAATAAATATATATATTAATATAATTAATATATTTTTATATTATATATATGTAACAATATATATATATAATAATTTATATATGTGCGTGTACACAGCGCGTCAAAAATTCGCAGAGTAGGCGCGAGGATCTAAGGACAAGAGAGATGTGGTTTCTTCTAGCGGTAAATAGTTAATATTAGTTGTGAACAAGCGATTGCTATAGTTAATTGGTACGGCGTTTGTTGACGCTATTTACCGCTAGAAAACGACCTTCTTACCCCTCGCGCCTACTCTACGAATTTTTGACGCGCTGTGTACATAAATATATATTATATACTATATTATATACTATATTATATACATATATAT